ATTGTTGTGACTACACAGCAAGGCACAGAAGCTAATTGTGACGGAAGAGGAAATGTACAGGCTTGTGTAACTGAATGCACGGGATGAACTAGCCTTAGATATGGCTGGATTCAGAGATTTACTATGAGCGTCATGAAGCTTAAGTTTCTGGATCCTCATGGCTTGACACTGTCTAAGTGACTGGGAGACTAGAAGTGTGTTGAGTCTGTTTTTTTCTAAAATTTGCAACTTCACTTTCCCAGTGCCAAGAGTGTTGGGGTATCAGGGTCAGGCAGCTATTTGTTGGAGAGTAAAGCAGGGGAGGGATGTAGGAAAGAGGTGAGAAAAAACAGCTCAGGGTGCCTGTGTAGGTTCAGGCTGGAAGACCACCCTTCTCTCCTGGATAAGGAATGGCTCCGCTCAGGTGGCCCTTGATGCAGGAACCTTCCCTGACACTCCCAGTCATGACCCCAGGCCCCTTTCAGGTGCCCTTTTAGGGTTCCCATAAGCCCCCCGGCTTTATTCTTACAGTAGACATTTTCGGGTCTTGTAATTGTCGGTGCTGATCTATCCCCCACACCAAGCGGGGGGATGCAAGGTCACTGAGCACAGGATTCTGACTTTCTGCTCCAAATCCTTAGCACATACTAGAGGCCTTGTCGCAGCAGTCCTTCTGCAAAGGACTTAAATAAACAAATGAGCATCAAATACTTGACTGAGAGAGATCGCTGATGGCTCAGCTAACTTTCATGGAGCTAACTTGAGAGTTTCATAACACTGAACTTCAGCTTATCCCTGACCGCAGAGAAAAACAAAAAGCCTCATAGATGAAAGCGAGAGTGGAAAGAGCAGGGCCAACATCTGATTATTTCCTTACATATTTCTCTAACATCTTTCTTGAATACCTAGGGAACCAGCTGAAAGTAAGAAAGATTATGTAAGTAAATCAAAACTTTTGTTTTGTATTATATACCAGCTGTATTATTTTTCTAGTAGTAACTCTCCAGTTTCATTTAAAACAAAGCTTGACAGCATGTTTGTGTGTGTCTGCGCTGGGGCACCCATAGACTAGATGTTTAAATTGTTTCAATAATAGAAAAGTTAACATATCATTGAACAAATAGGAGTAACCTTTACATTGTAATGCATAAGTGAATATAATGGTGAAATATGTTGGGGTAAGTTTTGTGTTGTTAGAATTTGATCATTCCAATTCCCTAAAGCACTACTTTATATGGGTTTCCAAAAAAGGGAACGGTCACTTTATCTTCCATTTTGTAATTTGGTGTTTACCTTCCATCAAACTGTAACTACTCTTTGAAGGTGAAATTGTCTCTAAATTCTCTGGAATGAGAACCTTCCCTATGGCCATGTATATATTTATTTCATGCACAGCCCTCAGATGGGCTGTCCATCTGAGTCTACCTATTTGAAATCTGACTTTTTCTCAAACTGATTAAACCATTTAACTCTAAAGGTAACATATAAAAAATATAAAGGTAACATAAAATCATGTGTTGATAATATAATCTTTTCCAAATAGTCCCCTTTAATCTTTTTATATGCATATTTTTACATATTTATAATCAGAACTTACAAATACATTTGCCACTTATTTTTTAAATAAAGAACAACAGTACTGATTCTTTTAAAACATAGGAACCACTATGTAAGAACCTACACACACCCACACATACCCCCGTTTTTGCTGCTGGTGTAGGATTATAATAAAGTAACTAATATCATCAATGGCCTTAGAAATGTAGACTGCATTTGGACATCCACAATAACTTGTAATTTAAATAATTATTTAAATCTCCTGAAGGAAAAATGAATTTTGCAGAACAGGCAGGGCAACACAGAGCAAGAGGCACCCGTCTGCCTTCTCATCCGGCTGAGAGGTTGAGTTGGTCTGTCACGCTGCTCAGCTAGGACGTGGCTGGTTTTCTATGCTGGGTGTCGCTTGTGTCAACCTGCTATTTACATTTCCAGACTTGTGTCCAACACAACTCTCACTTTGGACTGGGCACTACTTACTGCCATCCTGACTGGGTGAACTAGTGAGAAGTGGCCCTTAACACTTTCATATCTTTGTTTTACTTGGTGAAGCAGGATCAAGAAAGAGTAACTTGTTTTGTCACATGTAGTTTAGACAGGCAGCTTCTGAAAACAGTGCATTCTGCAATGTGCTTTGGATCTTACCACTGAACATGAGGATTCTTGGCTTGCTTTTTCACCCCCTCCACTCCACTTAAGAGCCTCCTGTCCAGTCCCCACCAAAAATCAGCAAGGATGGTAGAGGGAAGTGCAGATGGAATTGTAACAGGGGGGTCCCCAGGAAAGGGGGAGGTTCCCTGCCCCACCCAAGGGAGGGTGGAGCTGAGCAGGGAGAGAAGAAGCTGCAGAAGAGACTGAGGAAGGAAGCAGGATGGAGCCAGAAGGAGACCTGGAGGAGGCGCATGGAGCCTAGAGACACGTGAAGAAACTGCGCCGGCCTTGTGGTCATGGACGGGGTGACACAGATGTGGGTGAGACCCATGGGGAGGTGACCATGGCAGCTTTTATCTTGATGTTGATTTTGCTCTTTTCCTTCAGGGCTTGTCTGGTTGTTTGTGACCCTTTTCTGTGGGTCCCCACTGGAAGATGCTTTAGACTCGTGGCAGGCTTTGGGGCCTTGCTCTGGGCCAATCCCATTTGGATGGACTTTTACCCACGAGGGGACGGGTCACTTTGGGTGCTTCATTTAGAAACTAGACTCTGCCTTACCTGTATTGTTTCCTAGTTTTATTAAAGTTCCTTCCCCTTAAAGTCTCCTATGTTTTCTGTTGATGCGGCGGATGGCAGAACCCATTTAGAATAGGCAGGTTTGCGGGGTTTGGGCTGCCCCTCTCCCTGTCCTATAACAGAATGACAACTTATGAAAACAGTATCAGAACAAAACACAACCTGATAAACCAGATGTGAGAATATATATTGCCAGGACATTCTTTTGGACTGAATCACAATACTATTCTTCTCAATACCATGGACCACAGAAAGACTCGGATTGTTAAGCCTAAATTTAAGCAATCATCTTGTCTTTTTTTTTTTTTTTAAGATTTATTTATGCATACAAGAGCTGGGGTACAGGCCAGAGGTGTGTGTGTGTGTGTGGGGGGTGAGAGGATTCACCAGAGACAGAGTGGGGTACAGAACAGGCAGAGTGACTGAAGTACACTGCTGAGGGGAGCGGTGGGCGAGCCAAGAGAGGTCTGCTGCGCCATGTGGGTAGCTCCCTGGCCGGCCGGGGATCGAACTTGTGCCTCAAAGGCTGGGGACAGCTTCATAGGTTGCGTCTTAACCCCTTGCACCACCAGGGAGACCCAATAATCTTGTCTTTTTAGGCTTTAGCACCTCCTCATTGACACTTCTTTCTTCTAAGGGCGGGCTGGAGGTGAAGCTGATAAGGGGGGGGCACCTTCCAGTAACCGACCCCAGGTTCGGGGCGCAGGCTGCCGTCCCCAAGTGTTCATGAAGGAAGCGAAGGGAGGGGGCCAAGTAGCCATTTTATTTTTGACACCGGTCGAGGCACCCGGTTCAATAGCTGTGATCAAGCCTCAGGTGCCCCCCAACGTGCACCCGGAAGAAGGCAGAGACGCGTCGTGGGGACCCCAGGGTTACCCCTGAAGGCAGGCCCTCCCAGGAGCCAGAGTCCACGTCAACGTCGCCCCACAGCGCCCCCCGCAGCGGCACCTTTGGACCCGAGCCCTCGTCCTGGCCGTCCACTCGCGGGGTGGGCCGCGGGGGCGCGGGGGGGCGCGGGGTGGGGCGCGGGGGGCGTGGGGCCGGCGGCGGCGCGGGCGGGGGAGGGGCGCGGCGGCCCGGAGCGTGCGCGCGCACCTCGCCCTCCGCCGCCCGGGGACGCCCACTCGCGAGTCGGGGCCTCAGGCCCGCGCGCCCCCCGCTCCGGGCCTGCGCGCGCCCAACGGTGCCGGCGCCCGCCGAGCGCGCCGCCCGGGCCCAGCAGGCCGCGGCCAGGCCCGGCAGCCGCTGCGCGAGCGCCGAGCGCCCCCCGGCAGGCGAGCCCCGGCGCGGCGGCGGAGGCGACCTCGGCGCGCCCGCGGCGCCGCCCGCGTCGGGCTCCCGGCCCCGGCCCCGGCCCGGCTCCTCCCCGCGCCGCCGCGGGGCCCCGGCTCGGCGTTCGCGGCCGGCGGCGGCCTCGCCCGGGCGGCGGGCGCGGGGCGCGGGGCGCGGGGGCGGAGCCGGCGGCGGGGGCGGGGCGGGGCGGGCGGCGGGCGGGCGGGGGCGCCCCCTCCCCCTCCCCTCCCCCCTCCCCCCGCGCGCGCCGGGGCCGCTCAGTGGCCGGCGGAGGAGGAAGTTCCGCTCCTGACAGGCCCGGGCGGCGGCGACAGCGGCGGCGGCCGGCGGGGCGCGGGGAGCGCGGCCGCGAATGCCCTTCGCGCCGGCCGTCGAGCGGGCAGCGTCGCAGCTCCGCGCGGGCCGGGAGCCGGGGGCCGCGTCGGGGGGCGCGGGGGGCCCGCACCTCCGCCCGCCTCCTCGCCCGGCGCTTCCCGGCGCCTCCCGGCGTCTCCCGGCGCCTCCCGGCGGCCGGCCGCCCTCCGCGGGGACCCCGCTTTCCCCGGCGGCGGCGCGGAGCGGAGCCCCGGGGCCGAGGGCGCCCCCGCCGCTCCCCGCGCGGCGCAGGCCCCTCCGGGGCGGGGAGCTCGCGAGGCGGCGGCCGGCGGCGGGGATGGCAGCGCCCGCCTCGCCGCTCCGCGCTGGGGCCCGCCCGCCCTGCCCGCGGGGCTGAGGGGGGCGCGGAGCGGGGGCCGCCGGGCCGGGGCCGCCTGCGGGGCGCGAACCGCGGCCGCTCGGGGCCGCGCGCCGGCTGAGGGGGCCGGACGAGCGCGGGCGCGGCGCCTCCTGAGGGGCGCAGCCGCCCTTCCCTGAGGCGCGGGCGCGGGCCGCCCGGGCCGGCGAGACTCGGGGCGCCGCCGAGGGGAGCGCGGCGGGAGGCGATGAGGACTTGACGAGGCGCCCGGGCCGCGAGCGCCACGATGACGACCCCCGCGCTGCTGCCCCTGTCCGGACGCCGCATCCCGCCGCTCAGCCTCGGGCCGCCCGCCTTCCCGCACCACAGGGCCACGCTGAGGCTCTCCGAGAAGTTCATCCTGCTCCTCATCCTAAGTGCCTTCGTCACCCTGTGTTTCGGGGCGTTCTTCTTCCTTCCAGACTCTTCCAAGCACAAGCGCTTCGACCTGGGCTTGGAGGACGTGCTCATCCCGCACGTAGACGCCGGCAAGGGCGCGCGGCAGCCGGGCGCCTTCTGGATCCACGGCCCCGACGAGCACCGGCACAGGTTGGTGGGGCTCCGGGCTCGGGGGGGACCCCCGGCGGCGCCGGGCCGGTGTGCGGCCCCTCAGCTTTTTAAAAAAAAATTAAAAAAATTTGGGTCTCTGTGGTGTCCAGTGTCCCTGCCGCGGTCGCTTCCACGCTGGCCGGCGCGGCCCGAGCTGGGGGGCGCCTGGGGCCGTGGATCTGACCCCCCCCACCGCACCCCACCCAACCCCCGGCGCGGGGTGCTCGTTGCTGTTTTTTAAAGAAGCGTTTTTGCCCGTTTTACGTGGGAGGGACCCTCTGGGTGCCGTGTGAGCACCTGGGAAGGGAGGCGTGAACATGGCACCACAGGGAGCGGGAGGTCCGCGCTCTGCCTGCCTGGGGGTGCGCGCCCCGAACCCCGGCCGCCCGGCAGAGGCTCCCCCGGGGTCGGGGACGCGGAGTCGCGGGGCTTCGGGGGGCGCACCTGTCGTGCCCCGCGGTGCGCGGGCGGGGTGTGCGCCCCGGACACCGTCTCGGGGATGCGCCCCGGTGTTTCTGAAAATGCACTTCGCTCGGATTTTTGTCTTTGTTCGTGGGGGAGACAGTCGGGCAACTCCTAGAATTTGACTCTCAGGTCACCGAGGCTGAGGTGAGCCCCTGGGAAGGGGTGGCCCCCCTGGGGTAGGCCCCCTCTCTGGGATGTGTGTGGGAGGCGCGTGTGGGAGACGGGGCGCTGCTCTCGAGCCTCTCCAGGCTGCGGAGTCTTCCGCCTCTCGGGGTTCTTCAGATAATTTTTGAGTCTTTGAAAAGAATATATGATTTTGTTGTGTTTCTGCCTGAGTTTTAACTTTCCGTCAGGCACAGGTTTTTGAAACACTTGGGTTCAGATGTGATCAATACTTGGGAAATGCACGGTTGTGCTGAGAGCTGTTTTGTCCTTTCTCTGATCCCAGGGCAGGTTCCCCCGCTGTCTGAGAACAGGACATTCCTCTGTGGGATAACTTGGTAGGTTACTCTTTAGGAGTAATAATAATAATAATAAAAAAAAAATTGTGCATATATTAATGGTAATAGTGTTCCAAAATCCAAAGAGTAGCCTATCAGTCCAGCACAGTAGGAATGCCCTACTTTTGGACTGGGGGCAAATTTGTGATCCATTATTTGCTTACTGGTCCCTTGGCTTTGGCTGAACCCTGTGCAGTGGTTATTTCTAAAATGGTTACCTACCATTTTTCTGTAAGTTCATTTGGAATTTTTTCTCATCCTCATCAGCTTCTGTACCCTTTTGTTTCTTATGTTCTCCCCTCTGTGACATTGAGAAAAATCCGTAGTGATCTGTGAAATGTGTTGCTAAAAACTGACATTGTAAGTACTGTTTTCTTTGGAAACCCTATTTCTCCTGGGGGTGGGGTGGGGTGGTTAGCACTGGCTTCAGAGTTCTTGGTGGCCACATGGTAACATTATTTAGCTCTGTTGTAGTAACCTGTCATTTACCAAGTGGTTGCCTGATAGTTTAAGTGACCTGAATGCTACAGTGTGTACATATCTACTCATGTGCACACACTCACATATAGATGTATTTACGGTAGCGTTTTAATTTCAAAACATTTACATCGAAAAATTCTTTTAAGAGTAGTTAAAATATAAAATGTGAATGAAAGTGTAGATGTGTGCATTTTATTCACATTTTTAAAATTGTCAAATTGCTAAACAAGAGTCCTAAGTTTTTGTATCCCATGGCTACATTTACTTGTGTGTTGTTACCCAAACGTTTCAGTTCCTGGAGTTGGTATGAGAGCTTAGGGAGCTAAACTCTGAGTTTTGAATAGTTAATGTTCGGACAGCAAGTGATAATATGTGAAAATTTAGTCAAATCTATTTGGTCCCTGAGTTTTAGAAGCAAGAATTCAGGTAGTAAGAATTGAGGCGTCAAGGGATCGCTAGTATCTCTGCGCCCGTTTCCTGTGTTTCTGTCGGTTTATTTTTATATTAGCATGTTACCTGTTTACCATGTCTGAAAGTGATTTAGTGTTCAGAATTCTAATTTGTGGTGAGAAGAATTCTTCTAATTTGAGCAGTGATACATTTCAAATTAGAGATTTCTCAGTAAGTTTAAACTGTGAAGTACAAACCATCAAACTAATGTTTAAACATCAACTTATTTAAAAATAATTCAGAATAAAAGCTCTTAAGAGTTTGTTGGTACTAAGGTCATTATTGTTGGTACTAAGATCATTATGGTTGGGATGTGGGTTAGGAAAATTTCTTAGTTTAAAAAATGCAATTGTTAACTTACCTTAATTTTGTGTCTGTGGAAAAGGGTTCAGGATAGAGGCATGAGGAACCTGTAACTGATGCGTAACGGGAAACAAGCCATTTCTTATTTCAGTACTTTAGAGATGCTTGGTGAATTGGCTTTTCTTTATTAAGTTATGAATTTCCTTAGTAGGTGTTTAAGATCTGTAGACAGACTACATGGATTCATGCATGTCACCGATTAGATGTGTAATCTTGAGCACAAAGTTCAAACTGTATCTAAATTGCTTTCTCTCTATGACAGTGACATTGTTACATTGTTACATTGTTACATTGTTACATTACAGATTGTTACATTGAATGAGATAGCACATGCAAAGTACTCATGGTTCTTCCTGTTTAATAAATGCTTAATAAATATTATTAGTTATCGACAGTATAGTTTTAGTTGAAAATTTTGTTTTTGAATCACTTACCTGTAACCACTTTATGTGTTCTGAAAAATTGGGTGTAGATTAATATTTCAAAAGTACAACAGAACCTTGTTTTCTAAAAAGAAACATTTTATAAAGAACTGGCTAGCAACAGTGTGTGTTTGCAACTGTGTCCTTGCACGTCTTCTGCCTGTCAGACCCTCCTTTTATGGAGCTTACCGTTTGCGAGGGGATGATGGGCGTTAAGTAATTCTTGAGGTGTGATTAGTGTGTTCTGAAGTTGTATGTAGTTGTATTTTCAGAGCGCATAGCGGTGTGATTTGTCTTATAGAGGGGGTTAAGGGCGGAGGGAATAGAGAGGATTTCTTAAGGAAGCAGTGGCTTAGAAATTTAGAACCAGTTGGAGATTGCTAAGAATTAGAGATGTGGGGGAAAAGTCAAAACTGAGGACACGTAACATGTGTCCTTGGGTAATAAAAGCTGGGTCTCATTGAGGATCTGAAAACTCTTCAGTGTGGCTGGTGTGGAGGATAGTGGTGTGGAGTTAGGTGAAAGGACAAGATGAGCAGTTGGATTTGGCCAGTCTGAATCTCTCTTTTCTTTTGAAAATTAGAGGATATGGCCACAGCCTCATCTGTATTTTCAGATGTCAACATTCAGCTGGATTCCTGCAACAACTGAAGGGTTCATTCAGTTCAGTTTCCAGATTGTTAAATTTAATGAATCAATATTTAACTTGGTTGTTGTTGAGGTTGGAATCCCTAGGCAGGACCCTGGAGAGTTTGTAGTTCAATGTTCTGGTCTTTATCCTAAGTATTATGGGACGTTATTGATGGTTTTCTTAAAGGTGGGGAATGGCATAATCATTTAAAGTTTAAGAAAAATTTGAATAATCACGTTGATTGCATTATAGAGACTGATTAGGAGGGAAGGAGGACTAGATTTAGTGAAATCAGCTAGATGGTCCAGGTCACAGAGGATATTGGCTTGGACCACAGTGGTGATAATGGAAGAGAGAAATGAGTGAAGAAAAGTGGTTGAGTTTCATAAAAATTGTTGGTTGATTGATTATGAGAATTAAGGTAGAAGGAGGAAGGTGTCCAGGCTAAGCTCCCAATTTCTAGGTGGCCTGGCTGTGGGTTACCAAGAAATAGGCGCTAATTAATACTTTAATTTATATAATTGGTATTGCCTGAATTGAAGAAAAGGTATTTTCATGAGAAAACCAGTATGTTCTCTTCTGGTATATTGATAGAAGCCTTCTCTTGTATTCATAAATAATCCAAGGTTTCCAAACAGTAGTATCTACTTTCCAGATCATAGTAACATATGTGTGTAGTGTGATGGCAATTATTTTTAGCTTTTAAAGTAACCAAAACAGGTATTGGTTATAATAGACATGAATGTTGTAAATATACACTGATAATACTTAAAGTGTCACATTCATAATTTGTGTGCATACAGACCTTATTAAAATTTCATTATTTAACTTTTGAAACTAATGTTTTATGTAGTAACATTATACACACACATAGTTTTTGTGATTTTGTTTTAATTTTAAATAATTATTTGAATTGGTAACAGATTTCATCTTCCAATCAGGATTTTGTTAGTCTGAATTGAATACTTGAGGGTCATGTGTATGGTAACTTCCAACAGTTTCTTCAAGCAGAAAGAACATAGATTTTGGAATTAGAAAGACCTAAAGTTGCATTTTGGCTCTAGTAACTAACTAGCTATGTGACAGACCCTGACTAGACATCGCTCTAAACCTGTGCAACTCAGTATGGTGGTCACGAGTGACAAGTGGGTATTGAACTCGAAATGTGGTTAGTTTAGATTGTAGCATGAATTAGTGAGCATTTCTCAAGATTTTCGTTTCTTGATTTTTATTTTTTTCATGATTCAGTTCTATTTTTTTAAAGATTTATTTATTTATGCATATAAGAACTGGGGTACAGACCAGAGGTGTGGGGGGTGAGAGGATTCACCAGAGACAGAGTGGGGAACAGAACAGGCAGAATGACTGAAAATACACTGCTGAGGGGAGCAGCGGGTGAGTCAGGAGAGGTCCGCTGCGCCATGTGGGTATCTCCCTGGCCGGGGGATCAAACTCATGCTACAGTGGCTGCGGATAGCTTCATAGATTGCGTCTTAACCCCTTGTGCCACCAGGGAGGCCCCAATTCTATTTTTCTTAAAGGAGGAGATACTTTAAATCTCACTGTGGTGATTTTAATTTTCCTAAGTCTTCCCTCATCTCATTCCTCGTCTATACCCCTGTCAGCCCCCATCTGATATGTTTCCCCCACCCCCAGTCCTTTTCTTGTGCTCCTGTTTTGGGGAGGGCA